GGTCTGCCGACCGGAAGGGGCACTTGGGGCACGCATCCGGGGGTAGCTCAACCGGTGCTGGGGGATTTTCCGGTTTAGGTTTCACTGTGGTTATGACCTTTATTATCCCATCATGCTTCAATCGGCAGTGTCTCTGCAAATAACAAAAAATGACTTTGTGGATATTGTATATACCGGAAAAGATGGGAAAATCTTCACATTCATTCGGTCGCTCTAATTACCAACAAATCTTTATGTAATTGCGCGTTTATTACCTGAATGACGTGCTTCCAGTTGGATAGTTGGTTGCAGTGGCCACATCGATACGCCAAATCTGCAGGATCAGGCACGTTTTCAGCTTTCTTGTTCTTGTCATCCTCCTTAGAATGCTCCTTGACGTGCAGCAGTAGGGCTTCCTTTGATGGATCCCTGAAAGTGAGAGAAAATAAAATTATGCCCTGTGTTTCTATGAAATCCAACTATAAGGATAATTTCGTGATTTCAAGCTATTTACCTGTAATTGCATTTTTTACATTTCCACATTGTTTTCTTAGGTTTTCCAGCATCGAATGTGCCATCTCCGTGGTCATAATTTCCGTGTTGCGTTTGCAGATTTAGTGGTTGCATGTCGTAGCCCTGTTGGGCTCCGTCATTACCATCTCCGTAGGGTTCGTCCGGATCCAAATTAGTGTCAGTTCCAGGGTCTACGTAGTGGAATTCATTTTCGCCGTTCTCATTCATAATAGGCATTGCCAAAAACTTGTTGTACTTGCTGTAGTTCCGCCGCCCCGTTTCGTCAGTCATCAACACCTTCGCATTATTATGCTCTGGGTCTCTAGCAGATTTTAGTTTGATGTGCTTTGTGATATCCCAACGCCAGTTGGATTTGTATTTGCACAAGGAACATTCGAACGGCTTTTTGTTCAAATGGCCTACAATATGGACGTGGAAACGTGACGCAGTCGAAGCCCAGAATGGACAGTGCGGGCATTTGAAAACTTTCTTCCCAGCAGCCTGACTTGGTGACAAATTCATGCTGTCATTATCGTCAATGATTTCAGTATCAAAGCTTTTATGAAAATCTGGTAGTGTTGAATCATCGTTGATGCTAATATCAAGCGGTGTTTCGAACTTGTTAGATTCCTGGTTTGGAATATTATTCCAAACGAACACTACGTTTTCCATTGGATGAGGCTCTGCTTCCTTTTCAATATTAACTATAGAAACATCTTCACTATCTTCGTTTTTGTCTTTGTATGCGCCGACGTTACTTTTTTCGTTCTTCATGCACGTTTGCATGTGGATAATCAAGTCGGCGCTAGACTTGCACCTGTGCCTGCAGTTTTGGCATCGCGTCGAGCCCGAACTTGAAACTGCAGTGTTAGCGGCGGCGCGCCCGGCGAGCGCTGAGCAATTCTTTTCATGTACGGAATGTTCTGACAGACATTTGCTTTCGAATCCACAGTTTTTACATGTGAGAGACCCATCTTCGCCGGTTTCGGTCAGCAATCTCGCTTTAAGTTTATCGAAAAACGATATATTTTTCTTGTGTCCTGCTGTTTCTTTAGTTGGCACATTTACAGGTATCAGAGTAATATCAGCTGGCAAATGTTCGTATTTCTTGGCGAGGTTTTCCGCGAATTCGGAAGTTTTGGGTTTCTTTGCTGGTGGTTCGGTCTTTTGTGTAGGTGTGGAGGTGTTGAGCGGTATGAGAGGCGGTGGGGGTCGTTTCTTTTGTTTTTGTGATTTGTTATCTTCCGCAGTGTGATGCGGGGAGAGCCGGCTGCGCGGGTCCGGTGCCAAATGTGGATCGTCTCTCTTGGCAGCGGCGTCGGGTGCGGTGGCGTCGTTGGAATCGCTATTGCAGCTGATCAGTTCCACATCTGCGTTCTGTAGACCCATGTCCTGAAATAGACGAAAAGGATAATTAATTACCTGCTATGACGCTCAAATGTCCTAATGTTTAATTTTTACCTTACTTAAAATATATCATCACACAGAGCGGTAAGGACTCATTAAATTACTCTACATTTTATTGTTGGCAATCGAGTTTTCTATAACTCTTTCGAATAAAGTGAACGGTGGAATTTAGGCTGTGACAAAATTCGCATGCGTTTTTAAAACAATTGATTCTAATAAGATTACGACTTTGTGTCATACATAAACATGCAAATAAACAAACATAAACTACCGGGTGTCGAACTCAGGCATATTATGTGCAAAATGGCAAGATGCGCTATACAGGTGTATCGCTATAATGGTGTGAAAATGATTTCTGATGCGAATAAACGTGTAAAATCTATATTGGAGAATTATCTACTTATAGGTGCTAATATCGACTGAATACCTACTAAAGTTATTTCTAACTCTATCATATTTTTACAAGAAACATGGTCAAAGTATGAAACAACTTTTCGCCTTCCACACGAAATTGCCGATACGCTGTTCAATTGAATAAGGGTTTAAAATATCGACTTTCGACTCATGTTCAGTGAAAAAAATATTCGTTATCATAAGCATGTACTTTGGCCAGCAAATCCACCTATTCATTTAAGTTAAGGGACCACCTTATACTGGATTTTAATACAAATACTAAGAAAACCAGTATAAGTTAATCTCTTAAATGGTTAGGTGGATTTGCTGGCGATAATACCGTGGTTTCAGGGAACGAGCACTAGAACCTCAAAATGCCATCTGATAGGAAAATAGACGCGTGATTTTTATGATCCACAGAGGCAATGATTACGAACTAAAATAGCAAGTTGAAAATAAGTACCTAATTGTAAAAATATTTACAAACAGGTAGGGAGGGACAGCGAGTTATTGGAGAGTCGAATCAAGGCCTGCAGTTTTCTTGGAAGCGAACCAGCATTTTAGTAATGTTGCGGTAAACGATAAGATAACTAAATCTACATCTAGCCGGCCGGCACTAATCCGCGTCAAATAAGCACAACAGTATCTTGTTGATAAATACTCTCGACGATCGATTACGCAATGTGTTTTGTTAAGTTGTTAAAGTATCAATCAGATTATCATATTCATGCAAGTGCTAAGTTGAGAACGACGTGCACAGATGCAAGCATATTAAGAACGCGCGAGAGGCCAAGGGGAGTTGTGCGCCGGGCAGTGTGCTGTCAGGGCTGTCATGATAATGATAAGAGCGCGTGACGTGAACAGGCGCGGCCCCTCGCGGCGGCAGGGCGCAGGGCTAGGGCAGGCGACTCACCGAGGCAGCGTGCGAGGAACGCGAGTCTCCGCTCCCTTCCTCCTCCTTGGGGACCGGCGGCGCGGCGCTCGCCTCGACGAGAGCGCAGTCACTGGCGCCCACCCGGTTGCGGCGGCGACTCACGCCCGATTGGCCCGCGACCGCCGTGTGGTGATTCATCTCGTGCACCGTCAGACTCTGCTTGATGTCCGCCGTGAAGTTGCACATGGAGCAGTGGAAGCTGCCGGTGCCGCCGTGGTTCTTGTTGTGCCGGTCCAGGTTCCATTTGTACGGGGTGCGGAATTCGCACATGGTACATTTTATCATCGGCATCGAGTGGTACTTCACGTGCTTCGTGAATCTGCCTCTGATATGTGTCACGTAATTGCACTTTGTGCAAGAGAAATATTTGCCATTGTTTTTTGTAGAGTTTGAGACGGACGGTTCTGCTCTGTCGCCGTTCTCGACCGACTCCTCCATCGACTCCTCAGTGCATTCTTCTATGTCCATCTCGTCGTCGTTACCATCTTCCACCTCTTCGAGGAAGTCGTCCATGTCTAGGGACTCTTCGTTTATTTCCGGCTCCATCATGTTTCCACAATTATCCGGCGATGATGAAGTTGTGTGAACTTTCATATGGCGTAGTAACTTTTGATAAAATCTACACGCGTAAGCACAATGAGGACACTCATGAATTTTCAGTTTTTCAAAATGCACCTCACGGGCATGATACAGAAAGTCTCGCGAACTCCGCGTGTGAAACTTGCACTTGGTACAACTGTAGTTCCTTCTTGACTTTTTGGGTGGCGCTGTTTGCTGGTCCGCGAAGAAGGCACCGCTCAGGCGGCCTTCGAAGGGGCGCACAAGAGTTGCGACCTCGCCGGCTAGTGCGCTCGACAGCGAGGACATCTGCTGTAGCATACTCCGCTGCAACAAAACAATGCGCGATGTCGGTTAGACGTTCCGAGACGATGGCGCGCGGGCGCGGGGCGCGGGGCGGGGGCGCGCTGCAGGCGGGCGGCGGGCGCACGTGTGTGGTGCGCGAGAGCGTCGCCGGTAGAGTGAGGCATGGCACGGCGGCCGGCGGCATCGAGGCGAGCGACCCGCGACCCGCCATCGCGCCACCGCACGGCTGGCGGCAGGCGGCAGGTTGGGGCCGGCCCCGAGGGCGCGTGGGCTGCGCCCGAGGACGGGCGGAGGGTCCGACACTGACGAGGTGCTTCGTGTTTTTCATCCTCGACAACGCGGCTTAGCGCAAGGGGAGCCGGCCGGCGCGGCGGGCGGTTGCGACCTAATGAGAGTATTTTTTCGGGCCGTGGCATGTCGAATGAATCTTATTACAAGATTGCCGTGAAATTTGAATCTAAAGCAGTGAACAATGCTCTGAATAGTATGGTGGTTGATAAACCTACTGATCTAACACAAGAAACGTAAATAAATATTGACTCAATCAATCAACTGCTACGAATTCTACCGGTATTCAACGAGGTAGAGTTCGTTGATGTCTTTTGTATGGACAACATACACGTATTATGCACAAAAGACAAATTTTCCAAATTTTACTATGACCAAAGCAAAATGTCTACGAACTTTTTTTCTCTTGCTATTGACCCTATTACTAAGTAGGTACGCGGACACCAGAGGTGGTGAACTTTCCGAATATCGTCAGCACATAAATTACTCAAGGGATCAACTCTTCCTGGGCTTTCTTAGTATTCGTATGAAAAACCAGTGTAAGTTGGTTGGTCTTAAATGGGTTTGTTTGATGTGCTGGTGATAGTACCTACTACCTATTTAGGAAAACTTGCGAAATTTTCACCGCAGCCTGGATTTGAACCAGCGACCTTCGCTATCTGAACTGGCGATGCCTCTACCAACTGGGCTACATACAGCTTTTCCTAAATTGTATACCTAACACGGGAAGTGTTTTTAAAATTTGGTATTCAGTACATATTTACCTAGTTTCTCTTAATGTTAACTTGTGATAAGGAAGGAGATTAAAACACGGTCTAGGCCATGATCACTTTCTTTCTGTAGGTAGGGTGGACGGATAGCCTCTAAAAAAAAACTAATGGAATAAATAATCTGCTTGTTTGCGATCGAGAATGTCGCACGTGTAAGTAGTAGGTACCTATAGTAGTAGGTAGTAGGTACCTATAGTAGTAGGTAGTAGGTACCTATAGTAGTAGGTAGTAGGTACCTATAGTAGTAGGTAGTAGGTATTCGTAGCCTTCGCCTCGGCGAGGACCGAGGTCAAGCAGATCTTTTCCGCAGTGTTCCGGTCTGGCGTCTGATTTTCATTTTATGGAAAACTATCGGCCAGTTTGCGGTTTCACCCGCTGTAACTGATTTTCCTGGAATGTGAAATTTTCCCTTCCTCTTGGATCACTCAATCTACTAAAACCGCATCGAAATCCGTTGCGTGGTTTTAGAGAAGTTAGCGGTGTCCATGAGAGAGAATCACAAAAAGTAACTTTATACTTTGTATTAATATTGATGACTAGACATAGGGAAATAGCACGTATTATCGTGTGAAACATAACAGCTTAGGTAGTTCGGTTTTGATGATCGCAAATAAGATGGGTCCATGAGTTTTCCACGGGTTATATGCACGTTATAATTGTGTTTTACGGTTATTGTGAAAGACCTCGATTTCAGATTTTCTGAGAGTATAAGTCCGTTCATCACACCCTGAGTAGAATAGGGGTGGCAGAATTCTTAGCCGCTACCACTCGAAATAAGTCCGTTATTATGATAAGTCCTTTATTGTACGTAAAAGAACTTTGTCCAAGAAAGTAAAAATCGTGGTCATTTGATTAATTTTCTTTCATTTTGACAGCGTAATTTGAATATGAGGTGATATTTTACGATTCCAGCTTGGTAAAGGTACCTACGTAATATAGTGCGTTTTTCAAATTAGTACCGAACCTGAGTAGGCGCGTTATTCATCTCTTAATTTTATTTAATCTAATCTAATCACTTAGGCCATCAGCGACGTAGGGGGTAGTACTTATTAGTTGTAGACGTAGGCAGGTTAAAACAATCACGTCAAAACAATGTCAATTTGTCACGTTATGCCCAAGGCAGATAGATGGAAAGGTAGCCTGTTTTTGTTTTACCTTCACTATCTTTTTAGTCCTAAATTAATAGTGCCGGTGTGTTCTACGACAATTAAGTTCGACAATTTATGTAATTTGTGCGTGTTCGTTTACAATATAACCGCGCGTACACCACACCGTGACCACACCATTCTTGTCGTGGCATGAGGCATGAGGGCATTAAAAAACAAGTGTGCGTTGCGAGCCGTCCTCGGCAGAATATTCATCGGAGCGCGTGTGAGCGAAGCAGTCATGTAGTTAAGCAGCTGGCGGACGAGTCCTGGTGGGACCGGAGGCGGAGGGGCGCGGGGTTCGGGGAGAGGGTCGTCGACAGACAACTCGACAGGAAACGGCCGGAGAAGGCATCCCAGCCGAGCGAGCACAATGGAGGCGACGCGCCGCAGGGGGAGCCCTCGCAATCGATATGCCGTCGCTAAGGTCCGCTGGCCGCTGCGAGCGGTTTGGAGCGCTGCAGAGGCGGATGCCCCCGTCCCCCGACCCCCGCCCGGCACGCTCGCTCGCCCACCACACCTGCTGTGTATTTATAGAGCGGCACAGCCCGGGGATGCAGGGATGTCGAGTCTCTACCACGGCCGTCGACGTCTACCTATGTAGGTAGCGTTGTAGCGACGCACGCCATGTTCGCTCGCACGCACGCCGCACCCGTACCGGTGACGCTTGACTGTTAATACTTGTCACAATGAATACAAAAATAGCGCCCGCCTGTCCAACATTGCTGTTTGCAACTAGATGGCTGGCGAAATGGTACGAGCACGACGACAGCTCAGCCACCCAGATTTGCGACGTGGTTTACGTATCTGACAAGAATTATACGCAGTTAAATTTTGATTATGTCAGAATCTGGCCGGCCTGGTCGTGGCACTCGTGCGATTTTGTGCTAGGAACACTGGATAAACAATCCTACAATTTAAGTCGAGCAGCTCTGAAGCCCACGTTTCCGCCCCGTCCATGCCAAAGTAGAGTCGACTTTAAGCAGCAAACTTAGGAGCGACTTCTTGTTGAAGTCCATTGAGGCCTCAGATTCAGAACCGTAATTTAATAGATAAGAAGGGAGTTTTCTTGTAGGCGGAAAGAGCTTAATAAAGCGTGTTTTTGGCAGAGGCCGCGTGGTTTTCATTGACAAGTCCTTTCACTCTCGTCTGTTTCAAGTTCGGTTCCCGTGCGGCACCATTGGCTGCGTCGAATCATTTATCGAGGACGCGCGCACTTTTGCTTTCAATCGGAAATCGGAATGGCCGCCTACTTCGGTCTGTCTACCTGCGGTTACTCTACGCACGCATATATAAAACCACGCCTTTGTGCGTTGAGGGGTAGGCAGGGCAGGGCCAGTCATCATGTCACTTCTGAAGATACGTATTACCCAGTTACGGATCAATAAAATGGAAATGTAAATGGGTTTCGATTTTAAAAGACAAACTTGGATGACTCTACATTTTCAAATAAAGAAAATTCTTCTTCTGATAAATAAGTTACTTGGTAGAGTACCTAGATGCAATGTACGTAAGTAATTGTACGCTATTGTACGTTATATGTACTTTTTACATTGTCACAAGCAAATATGTACCTATATAAATATAAATCAAAATATGTACGTATAAATGTTACATAACTTTAAAAACATGTTGACATTGCACAATATTTGGATCAAGCGGTAATTCAACACTGCATTGTGGCTTGACAAAATCATTGGAGCTGGTCTGTTTTCGTGCGTTGAACCCTCGTATGCCAGGTGCTTGGTGCATCAACAATACCCCATTGGGTGCAACGCGAATGTAATATCATAAAAGAACTCTGCACCCAATACATCACCCGAGTTTAAAGTGAATTTACTTTTCGACGAGGAGGAAAAAGAGTAGTGAACTGCGTAGTAAATTATCTTCGGATGCTTCGGATAGAGATGTTTTCGGTTTTCATAAGCATTTTATAAGATTAACTAGATATCAAACAAATCAGTATAGTAGCAAATGGTACTATCAGCAGCATGTATCTAAACTACTATCCCCTTAATTAAATAAATTCGTATTTTATTTATTTTAGATGGGAGTTTAGATACAATTTGGTGCCGTGACCAGGATAGGGAAACCTACTGGTTTTTCCATCTTGGGACATGGTACAAGCACATCAACCTCTCCTCTCAGGGATCAATCCTGGTTTTTCTCAGAAAATCAAACCGTATAAAGAGTAATGTGGTGTGCTGATAACACCGAACTTACGCGGTATTTGAAAATATAATGGCATTAGAAAACATCTCAGTATTGATTATGGAAAATTTACAGTCTTGGCGGCGTGAATAGTCTTAGTTGGTTTACCGCGCCATATGAAACTGCTGAGCTTTATACTTGGAGCATGATTGCGCACGCCAATACGTAGACAAGGTAGGTAGGTATGGCGTGGCGTCATTTGCTTCGTTCTTGTAGGAGTTGGCGAGTTGGCGTAGGCATTCCGAGCGTGACTAACCGCAGTCGCAAGTAGGTAAGTACCTTGGTGAAGCGCTCACCTCGCTGTGGCCTCCGCAGGCAACTACTTCTTGCATGCAAACCCGTCCTGGCGGACTTGCATGCACGCTCCTCGCTTCCCGTCGACGGCGCACCACTGCGCTCTTGCAACGCAATTATTGTGCCGATTCCACCAGCGATCTGTCAACTCCCCTACATGTGTGAGTCGTGTGCGCACGACGAAATCATTTCAACTACATACACATGTGCTTTGTGCGCTGTGTATCGAGTCATGACGTCTGATAAGGAATGCACGCAGCGCTTCTGCAGGCACATTCAATTCAATGAAGAGCGTCTACAATGTAGAGTATTGAAGACTCGAGGATAACGAATCGCTTCGTCACGTGATGAATAGTGGTGTTTAATTTGTTTGAGCACCGCCGTTTGTGCTTGTTTGAAGCAGTGAGGTGCAGCATGGTTGGGGATTTGCGACGCAAATAATTTGCGCGCCAATTGACCTTTCGTCGGTCGACGTCGTCGGCGCTGCGAGGCGGCGGCGGCGGCGGCGGCGGGCGCGGTCGCACCGGCTCAACCAACAAGCGCTATATATAGCTTCGCGACAACACGCCACACCGACCGAACACCCGCCAGGGGCCGACTACGTAGGCAGTTTTCCTTTATCACCCGCCCGACAGCCTCTAGCCTGGATTTTATGGAAGCGTCGAGAGCCATCGCTCCGGAGACGTAGGCGACGGGATGCCCGAGCCCCACACCACCCTCCCGATCGATACGGATGGTCGCCGTAAGAACCCCTCGTTGGGCTACAGATGTAGTAGAGTAGACTACTACCATATTATAAGCTTCTAATGTACCTACCTACTTAATGGAGAAAATCTAGCTGTTAAGCAGCACGAGCCCGAGAGATTTAAATCTCTAATGTAGAGTTTAATTCGCTTTCAAGCAAATACCTATCATAGTCGGTAAATATCGAGTTGTTATAAACTGCAGAAACGCAGAAGTTATAGCGACGTGTCTTGTTTACGAGCACGTCAGCGGTCGGACTGGTAATAATTAACATGACCTTGGAGCCGCCTGCTTGCTAACGACTGGCCGCATCAGCCGCAGTCAGTCGTACAATGAAAAGAGTGCATTCGCCGACGGCCGTCGCAGCAACATCAGCGTCTCGGAATTCGTACCGCTCGTGCTCGTTTTAAAGATGGCTGCGATAAGGCGCGGTGACGCTCCTCGAGCGCGGGCGTCGTGTCGGCGCGGTGCTGCGGGTGTGTGCGTGGCTGCGAGCCGGTGTGCTGACGCCGCCGTCCCTGGCGTCCCGTCCCGT